CCATTCCAACGATCTCCGACAAGAGTCACGCCACAGCAAACGGGACTGGTGTACAGCTCACTACAACTTGTCTCCACTTCCCTCTTGTCCACCGTCCGGCCTTTTTCCTACCCTCAGCAGACTTCGGGGCACCTGGACCGACGCCGCAGAACAGGATGATGCTGATGGTGTTGATGGTGTTAATGATGACGTTTGTGAACATGGAGATTTAAAGGAGGTCTTTGGAGGCGAAGTAAACCCGGTTTCCAAGACGGACAAGGACGACGACTCAGCAGCAATAGATATGGCAATGACTGCCTCCAAGACAAGCCAGGATTATGGCTGTATCTACTCCGCGTCTCGGTTCACTGCATCGCCCAGTTCCTCCTCGTCCTCCTACAACGGAGACGACTTTCCGGTGCGTTAGACACACGTAATTGCGCACACGCTTTCACCTATTACACTATGATTTATATCCATATCTATATACCATTCTATCTATCTTTATCTATCCACCTATCTATATATAGAAATGTATCAATCTGTAAAAACGTGGTCTGACCTCGTTTTCCCAACTTTATCGTGCTGTCAGGATGACTTAATTGGACGCAACTTGTCCGAAGTCCTTTGCTGTAGTAGTTATCATGAGTCCCAGCGTTATACTGTGGACTTGGTACATTCTCAGATGCTTCGCCGGAATTGTATTTGCGCCGTCAGTGAGTAATGCTAGTCTCAGCAACAAAGAATGTACCAAGTCCACGGTCCAATGCTTGGAATAATGGTAACTACTACAACAAAGGACTTCAGGCAAGCTGGACCCAACTAAGTTGTCCTGACAATACGACTAAGTTGCGAAACCCAGGTCAAACCAACACTTACTTTAATTATATTAGAATATTCGAGTAAAAATTAAATTTTCACTAAATTAAATCATCTTATGGAGCATATTGTCTAATGTTATTCTTCAATATCTACTGATATCCTTGAAGTTTGTATGATTTTGTGTATACCTAAAGTTTTGGACCTCAGACTCCTCACCATTTATTTATATTGAAGCTTTTCTCAACAGTTCTTTGGATCGGACTTGGAGGACGATGTTTGCTCATATCAACAATCGCTCTTCGAAGGAACCTATATGGGAACCTTTTCCAGCCAAGCCTTCACACCTAATTCAGGCCGTATTTTCGAGGATTCTCTTGGTTCCATTTAGGGCAAAAATATTTGGTGAAGAGACTCGAAGAAGACAACGGCGGATTGCTCTTGACAAGCTTTCGACTGACTCCACTGGAACATTCTTGTTGACGCTTTTTTCGAGGCAATATTTTTTGTTTCCGATGAAAACGTGCTAAGCTTTTGACCGTTTTATGAAGGAAATCATCAGATCAGAGTTTTAATCTTACAACCACGTTCAAGGTGATGATCAAGAAAACTAACCGACATATCCCTAAATTCATACACTTGTGTCCACTCCTATTCATACGAAGACATGAGACTCATCAACTTGACCAAACTCGTGATGGTTAAAATATAAAGAAAAATGGCTGACATTGATGACCGAGAAGAGACGTTACGTTCTGTTCTTAATACATTGGGCTATCATTGTGGTTTTATATATATACGCACACACGAAGCCACATAAACACACAGATATACACACACACACACTTCGAGTTTAAGATATAATTTCAACTAACCTAATCACTTAATACCGCCTCAAAAACAATAGATTTCGAATATATGTATACAGAATTTTTCGTTTTATAATTGAGTTTTCGAGACTACCACTAGATCTGTTTTAGAGCTGTATTCGACCTTTTTCTTTTAGGGGGTTGAAGGACCAGTAGTTGAATCTTCCCACGATTATATGAATATGCCTCATTTTTCCATTGAATTTCACATAGCTTTACTTCCCAGATGGCACTCCCATTCAGGCTCCAGGGATTAGCAGTTTCGACCTCGCTTGATCTGGCCTCATTGGCCAGATTCGAGTCCCCAGTGAGAGCCGTATTTAACCTTTTTCGTGTAAGGTGAGTAAGCTAACGCGTCGAGACTTTGCTTTGAATTACCACCAAATTGGTTTCAGTTCTGCTGGGGGTACTGTTGAGACCAGTTCAGGGGAATTCGACAATCAGTTCACTCCAGTCAGGATGAGAATACCTTTAAAGAAGCAAGGCTATTTGAAATTCAACGGAAACATGAGGACTATTCATGTAATTGAGGGAAACTTCACCTAATAGTCCTTCATCACCATAACGAAGTAGGGTGAATACGGCTCTTATATTAGATCTACTGTGAGTGGTAAACCTAATTACAAATGTAAAATGACAATCTACTCTTTACAATGTCAATCATAAGACAGCCGAAAGTTTGGCATGCTTTCTTCGGAATTGAGGAAGGTTGCTTCGGAAACAGTGTCATCAAGAATGGTCCAGCAAGGTCATTCGACGACTGTTCATGAGGATTCGGCCGTCGTCTTTTGATGGGATCCACCTTCGAATATCTCCACCAGACACGCTTACTCCAAATGGAGGCCAGCTCACCAATGTTAGCTGTATTGGAATGAAACTGTTGTTGTCATCGTGTTTTTTCATGCCACCCCCTGCCTCCCCCTACAGGAGGCCCAGGCTTCACAACGCGACCTTCAACTGACTGAGATCCTGACCGAGTTGGAGAGCTTGGGTCGCCATACCCTTGGCGCTCAGCAGCGTTGTCTTGAACGTCGACACAGTTGGCGACCGTTTCAGCCGAACCCCGGCGGTGTCGGTACCGACCTCTCGTGGGCGGGGCACCAAGCCCGGCGAACCGTGGAGCGTGTGTGCGACCGGCTTAAGTGTCAGTTGGAGGAGTTTGAAAGCCATGACGACGATGAAGACGATGACGACAACGACGACGATGAGGAGGCGTCAGAAGCGGAAGGACACTCTTTGGCGGCGGTCGGTGAGAAGGGTACTGGCGTCGACGTTGATACAGATAGTCGCCCGACCGAGGCCAGCTACGACGTCGAGGAGGAGGATGAGGAGGATGAGGATGAGGAGGATGAGAAAAATCAGCTGATAGTTGCCATGGCGACGGGGGAGGATGATATGAGCAAAGCAGTTCGTATTGTCCACCACAATCGACTCACGGCCTCGGTGGGCTCTCCGGCAGACTGGCTTGAGCAACGGCCGACGACCAATGAAGGCACTGGTGCACAGACAACAATAACTGCCCCGGTCAGCTCGGATAGAGCCTCGTCTCGAGGCCGTGAGGCTACCTCGACAATGAGTACCGGCCGGTTTTCAGTAGACCCGGGGCCAGTCGAGGAGGACGGTACAGAGAACGATGCCGATGACTTGTGGTCGGATCGGCTCGATTTGGCCTCTGCCCGTTCGAAGCCCTTTGAATGGCTATGCGAACAGGTTAATTGGATACCATTCCCTCTTGATAACTCACTCATTTGCTCTCTTTTTTAAATTTCATTCTCTTTGCTTTTGGCCCATTTGACCCACTTTCCATTTGCTCACCTACTTCTCGCTCATCCTTTACTTCGTCCAGTTTTTCTTGCTGTCTTCTAGGTTGAAAAACTAAATTCTTTTTTCTAGAACCGGCCAACTTCAGCATTATGTTTAGTTTGGAAATAGGCCTTCGAGACATTCATATATGAAGTGTATTCATACTATTTTGTTTAACGTGATAAGGGGAATGGTAATTGAATTTTCCCACAATGATATGAGTGGAGCTGACGTTTCCATTAAATTTCACATAACCTTTCTTTCCCAAAAGGTGTTCTCATCCAGGGTGGACTGCAGTTTCGACCTTTTATCAACATCCCCAGCTGGATTCGAACCATGACACTGCGGCGTGTAAGCTCGACACGTTAACCACTACGCCACATTGCAGGCTGCACTGCCATGGCTCGACCCTCTCTGGGGATGTCGATAAGACCAGCTCAGGCGAGGTAGAAACTAGAGTCCACTTCAGCCTGTATGTGAGCACCGTTTGGGGAAGCAAGACTATCTGAAAGTCATCAGAAGCATCAGCTCTACTCATATGATTGTGGACAACTTCAGTTACCAGTTCTTCACCACCTTAACCGAAATAGGATGAACCGGTAGTCTGGAAAACCTACTCAAAACGAAATATAAGTACACCTTACTTTTCCTTTGAATTTCATATAGACTTGCTTTTCCCGAAAGGTATTCTCATCCATGATGGACTTTGATTCATCGGCAATCCCACCACAGAATGTGATATGGCAAAATGCCTGGCCTCCCTTGCAATTCACACCTGCCCTCTGACCCAAGAGCACGTGTGGCAACACGGCGTAGTGGTTAATGTGTCGAGATTACACTCTACACTGTCATGGTTCGAGTCCCACTGGGGATGTTGATAAGACCAGTTCAGGCGAGGTAGAAACTACAGTCCACTTCAGCCTGGATGATAACACCTTTTGGGAAAGCAAGGCCATGTGAAATTCAATGCAAGTGTAACGTCTACTCATATGATTGTGGGAAAATTTTATCTACCAATCCCTTTATCACCTTAAACGAAATAGCATGAGTGTATTTCATATATAATTTCGGCATTGTTTTCATGCCGCTTTTTCCTTTTCTCTCGTTGTCTCCTTTCTAGTTAACTTTTATTTATCTCTCCTCTCACATTTCCGGAATCTTTTGCCAGAGTAGTCTTGATAATTTCTATGGCACAAGTTCTTTGTTTAGAATAAGAAATTATTATGACGACTGCGGACAGAGTGCGTTCGTCGGCGGTTTGTTGACGACGTTAACTAAATTTATTTTTAGTTAGGCCAGCAATTTGAAGTCTAAACTCTCAGTACATCTCGTATAATGGTAATGGTGTGCTACTATTCGTCGATTTCTCGCCGAAACCCTGTTAAGGGAAGAATTGGGGGTATCTTCTTTATTCTTGGATTTCCTTCTGAAAGTCGGTTTGCAGTTCCGACCTCTTGTAAATAAATACCCCATTGTCCCGAACGAGCTGTGAACAGAAAACATCCAGATTCGGAATAAAACCAAAAGGAGCTGTCTAGGGCATACATACATTTTTCAAAAAAGTATTTTGGCCCGTTTCATTTAAACAACCAGGTGTGGCTAATCTATCTCTTTAACTGAACATGGATCTTGCCTCCTTTTAACTTTTCTTGCAGTTGACTAGCAGTCGAGCCTCTCTTGAGGACCGCCCTAGCACTGAGGTGACGTCACTTCGTTCCATCACTCGACTGATGCGCACTCCTTTGCCCAAAGTCTGCCGTCTACCAACAGCAAAGGGTCCCCTTAAGATGTACTTCTCAATACTTTCACAGACTTCTGAGTTTTTGGCAACTTGGGAGATAGTAAGAGGCATAATGTTTTTCCCATTTCTTTGATATGGCGTAATAATAATAATACTAATAAAGTAACATTAAAAATAAAATATATTTTTATAATATATATATATATATATATACAGTGAGAGAGAGCATATATATGTATTTGCTATATATTATATTGCTATTATAATTGGCACACACATATATATGTATGCATGCATATATCTAATTATATATGTATGTATATAGTACAATAGTGTATGTGTATTCGCTGTATTTTATATTACTATTGTATTTATTGCCAGTTGTCTAATACGCAAAAAAGGCCAGATATATAATTTTTATTTGTATTTTTGTTTAATTCTTACGTTAGTAGGCGAAGAATATATTTGCCAAAGTCGATCTCACCAGAATACCTCTGCGGTTTTATTTTGCTGAGACGTAGAACAACACATTCATCAGGAAATCACCACCACCACCAATACTACTACTATTACTACTACTTATATTAAGAATAATAACACTTTTGTGCTTAAAATGGAAAATATTGGTCAGTTTGATTTTGAATTGCAGTGTAGAGTTGTGATGCCTCGAAATAGAGAAGAAGCAGGGCCCAAAAGTGGTGTTCCTTCTTTAAATATGTCGAAGGAGATCACTTCGGAATCAGCGTCAACATGAATCTTACAGTAAAGCCAATCGACAGCTGGTCAGGATGAATCCGCCGTTGTATTCTGGTGGAATCGACCTTAGAATCTCTACACCAAACACTTTCACTCAAAATGGAAATAAGCTTAACAATTATGAAACAAGAGAGTCCTCGAAATCCAACTTTTCTTCTCAGATGCCTAGTTGTTTGACTTTCACTTTTCCCACTTCCCGGAGCAACGCTTTAGCTAGCCTAGACCAATGTTCTCGTCTACGATAACTTTGGGATTCGTGCCCCCATTTTCAAGTTGATCCGGCTCTACCAGGCACCGCACAGTCTATGCCTACCCTCAGACCCAACTTTTCGCATATTTTAGGCTCTTCACGGTTGCCATAGCAATTGTTTTTCATCTCGCCCACGATCAGCAAAATACCCCAGTTGCCTGTACTTATGAAGAAGATCAGAGTTTTTATTGCTTAGCTCACCTGTAGGCTATAGGCTCCTGCGTAGATCACGGACAACCTCAGTTTACCCAGAGAAAGCGGATTTTCACTATTGAATTCGAATTCGCTTTTTCGCATTTACTTATAATTTCTGATAGGCTCTCAAATGGACTATTCTAATATCATTCGGGCTTTGTAGATCGGGAGTCAGACGGTTAGACGTAGTTGCTAGAGCCTGGTTCGATCGGAGATGTCGTTTCTCGGTTTCTCAGCTCCATCGGAGTCGTGGGGGGAGGGTAGCAGATGAGTCTTGCAAGATGCCTCGAGGTGGTCGTCTCAAGACGGGGCGAAGCCATTCAACGAGTCCCTTCCAGAGTCGAGGATTCACATGAACTGACCCGCCGACTTTTTAGGTACCGGTCAACTGTCTGCCTCTTCAACACCCTCCCTGTACCAATCGAAAGTGCACCTGTGGGTACTTTCGGAAGACGCAAATTTCTAGACTCTCATTATTTCTTCAATAGGAACCTGTTCAGCTCAGATCGCTTGAGGTGATTTAATGTCTGAGTGTTGAGTTTTCTCACTCAGGCCGCCATTGAAGTTCACACTGGACCTCACTGGAACCGGTCTCGAAGCCAACTTTTACCTAAAATAAGTAACAGTGTCGAGTTAACCGGTAAATTCATGTTTGTAGAAAAGTGGGTTTCGAAGAATCCCTTAATATATTGACGCTGGAGTACCTTTCATTTTGTTTGAAGAGGCGATTGGAAGGGATATGTAAGTAGGCCCTGCGAGTCCGATAATTCCTCAGCAAGGATTCCTCGAAGTTGCAGGGCGGCGCGCCTAGGGCCCATTCGTACTCCAACATAAATCTATGTTTGTTTTTACTCGGCATTCCCATGAGAACTGACTGGCTTTGACCGCCGCATCACGAACCGGGCTCGAGGCCAGTTGGGGCGAGGCCAAAAGCAAAGTGTTCACTCTGGTCAAGCTGAATTGAGATTGACTTTTAGGAAGAGACGGCACGTGGGAAATTTGACGACATCCAGTGGATAGTCACAAAACTACTCATGCTTAATTAATAAACTCAAGGAAAGAGAGGCTGTTAAGCAGTCTGTAGTAAGGAGACTACTCAGCTAGTCTTTTCTTTTCTTTTCTTGTCTTTTTTTTAATTGCGGTCACTCTTTTGTACATTTTAATTCACTCTTTATATCTCTTATGAAGACAAAAAGCTCATCGGCATAACATGACGTGATTTCGACTTTGCTCAATCGATTATTGTTTGTATATATATATATCAATGTGTGTGTGTGTATGTATGTACACATAAAGGGGATGATAGGGGTCATCAATAGTTGATGGCCGAGAAGAGACGTTACTTTTATGTTCTACTTACTTTAAGTCATGACTTCTGGTTTCGTAGATATAAGGATACATGAAAGTGCATAAACACACACGGACAGACACATTCACATGCTTCGAGGCTGATATGTAACTTGAACAAACCAAAACACTTAATACTTCATCAAATAGCTTAGATTTAGGGTAAATATATACAGCATTTAGGGATGAGCCGGTGAGTGTTCTTGACTCATTAGCTTGAATATGGTTGTAAGGATGATACCCTGTTCTGGTGATTTGCGTTATACAACGGACGAAAGGTTGGTGCGTTTTCATTCAAACCGAAGAAGATTGCCTCGGAAACAGCGTCAACTAAAAAGCCAATCGACAGCCGGTTTAGTGGAATCCGCCAGTGGCCATCTTCTGGTGGGATCCACTTTGCAATCTCTTCACCAAACGCCTTCACTCCAAATGGAAATGAGCTTAACAACTTTGAACTAAGAGATTCTTCGAAACCCAACTTTTCTTCGCATATACTAGTCTAGAAAGCCGCTTATACTGGCTCAGAAACCAAGGCCCAAGGAAATGTAAGGACCGGCTACTCAACTAATTAGGACAGTTCTAGTTTGATGCATCTCTTCCCTAAATACCTGACTGCTGCATGATAATGGCAGTTGGAAGATGACCTGACGAGATGTTCTACACGATATTGATCTGTTGATAAGCAGGACGGTCTTCTTTTTTGCTGATCTCTCAATCACGTCTTGCCTAGAGGAGAAGCCTCATCTAAGGCCTATAGCATCTTCTCATGACCAGGTTTATTAGGGCGTGGACCATTTGTCAAAACGTTTTTCGCAACAAAGCCTATTTTGCTGATTTTATGCTTCGCTGGCTGAGGCTTATCGAGACAAAATCCCTTTTCAAAGTGATATACTGTTGGGGTCAGGCCAAGCCATAAATGTGCACCATTTATTATTAGCATTATTTATGTTCCAACATTTGCAACAACAATATTAGTAGTATGTTGAAACTTTCGCTTAGAAATGATCTGACCTGGTTTTAGAAAATTTGGCCCTGTTGTCAGGTGGACCTAATTGGATGCAACTGGTACAAGGTTTCCGTTCAATTTGCACCACGAACAAGTTACGAAAACAAGGTCAAATCATTTTTATACAGCGAAACAAGACCGCTACCATTTTTATCCTCTTACCTTCGGTTATACTAAGGACAAATAGAAATTTTGAGCTTACTTTCATTTCGAGGGAAAGTGTTTGCTGAAGAGATTCGAAAGTGAATCTCAACAAAAGACGACCAGCAGTAGATTTCTCTTGACCAGCTGTCGATTGGCTTTACGGGAACATTCTTGTTGAGGCTGTTTACTTTGATTCCGGTAAAGACACGCTAGGCTTTCTTCCGTTCTATGATGGACATCATCAGTGTCGACAAGAATGTTCGAGGAAAGCTGGTAGTCTTATGGTGTGATCAGCCTTTGTATCTCTTCACCAAACTTGCTCACTCAAAATGGAAGTGAGCTTAACAATCACGAAACAAGAGATTCCTTGAAACCCAACTTTTTTCGTAGATAAAAATGGTCTTGTCTAGTTTTCGCAACTTGATCGTGTTGTCAGTACGACTTCATTGAACACACCATGTCTAAAGTCCTCTGCTATAGCATTCATGATAACTCTCAGTGTTGGACCGTGTACTTGGTGAATTCCCCGACCTTTCGCCGTCAGTGAGTCGTGCCACTCTCAGCACCAAGCAGCAACGCATCAGAGGCAGCCATTCGACAGAAGGTAGTTCAAGTGATTGACTTCACTTGTCGCTTTGACGACTTGTAGCTTGTTGCTGATACTGACAAGAGGCATTGACGATGCCGTCGAAATGTCGGGGCATTTACCAGGTCCACGATACAGCAGAGGACTTCGGAAAAAGTGTGTCCAACTCTGTTGTTCTGACATCACACTCAAATTGCGAAAACGAGGTCAGTTAATCTTTTATATGGCAACCAAAATACAGGACACAACATCTTGCTCTTCATATCTCTCTTAGAAAATCGTATGCAAAAGTCCATTTCCTTCCGTGTAAAACTGACTGGTTGTCCACTTTTATGGTTATGTATGCAATTTATTCAACCAGACCATGGAGGACTTGAGTCTGGACCTGTCTAGCCTCTGCTCGCTTACTCGACTTCTCCTTTCCCACGCCGACCACCAACTGCGCGAGGCGACTGATTGCCTCCATCTGGATCCGGCCGAGGAAGACGGTCTCTTTTCTATCGCCCCGGCAACTGCGGATGATACGCATGAGCAGCTCTACGCTGTGTTGTTGGCCCTGCGCAATCTTTGGTTGCATTCACTGCTCTTCGCGGGCTCGCCCTTTTCTGCTCACTGCCTCGATGACACCTCCGTCGCTCCGCTTCGGGGGCCGGACTCGGAGCCGGACTCGAAGGAGCGGGGTTCGGCGGTCGGGGCTGAGGTTGGCGAATCATCTCACCGGACGGTCTCAACTGCTCGGGCGATCAGAGGCAGTGAAGACGAGGAGGCCGACGATGGTGGGATGAGTTCAGTCGAAGCTGTTCAGACTTCCGACAAATGGCTGAATGCGAAGCGGAGAGATTTCGTGAAGGAGATAGACCTTCGACTTAAACAACATCTGGACTTGATCGAGGCCTCGGGCCTTCCCGACTTGAAGTCAACTCGGGCTACCATTACAGGCCGTACTCGCGAGAGAAAGGCAAGAGCTGCTGTTAATTGTATCCGCTGACTTTTGGCATTTAACAAACCCCACGTCCAATACTGCCCAGTTGACCCAAATCGCTCATGCTCTGCGAGAGACATTCATCCACTCTCGATTTTAGGATTTTCACACCGTATCCCAACCCTTTCCGGCACACTGAGAACCCACTCACTCACAAAACTGTAATGTCGTCGATTGTTATAGCAAATATAAGTTTGCTTCATTGACAATCCCAACACAGAATATGATATGAAAAATGCTTGAAATCTCATCTTTCATCCATCTTTCATCTCATCTCCTCTCATCTCATCTCATCTCATCTCATCTCATCTCATCTCATCTCATCTCATCT